GGGCATGGTGGCACTTGCCTGTAGTCCCAGCTACTCAGGAGGCCGAGGCAGGAGGATGGCTTGAGCCCAGGAGTTGGAGGTTGTAGTGAGCTATGATGACACCATGGCACTCTAGCCAGTGTGACGGAATGAGACTCTGTCTGAACAACAACAATAGAAAAACCAAGGAAACTGAGCAACACCTCTCCCATCCCCTCTTTCATAAAAAAAAAAAAACTATTAAAAATAATCTTTTCTCCTCTATAGCATAAAGATGACTACATTAATATAACATATTAAAATACTATCTTCTAGTTTAAAGAAGAAGTGATAGCATTTTCATAGGCCCTTAAAATATCATGTGCTCTATGCACTGCACTAACTGTGCTCAATGGATGGATCCACCTTGCCTTTATCCGTAATGCACAATGGAAGAAAAGGTTTTGATTTCCATTTTGTCAAGAATTTTATCTTTTTTTATGTTGGCCATGGCACTTTCTGACTATCTCAACTTTTATGAAGCTCTGTCTACTACCTTGCTTTAGAAAACCCCAGGTTGTCTAATGCTTAACTGACAGAATGGGGAATCCAATCTCCACCAGGAACATAAAAAGTATTAAAGTATTAAAAATACTTCAGTAAAATGCTACAGGCAAGATGGAAGCCTGGCAGAGATGACGTAAAAAGGATTAGCTGGACTCACAAAAGGGCAGAAAGGGAAGTGTTCTGTGCAGCGTTCTGTCAGTGGCTGAGGAAAGGGGAAGAAGCCGAAATGGTCCCTATGGCCCGCACATTTCCCTTCCTCATGTTAAGCTTCTATCGTTTTGAGTATGTTTATCCTTTTATAGAAAATTTAATCAGTGTGGGCAGGTGAGGTTATGCTGTGGTAACTAACAATGATGCCAAATTCTCAGTGTTTAAAACAACAAAGATCTGACGGGCCCAGTGTCTCAGAGGTACCTGTAGTCCCAGCTAGTCAGGAGGCTGAGGTGGGAGGATCGCTTGAGCCCAGTTCAAGGCCGCAGTGAGCTGGGATCCCTCCACTGCACTTGAGCCTAGGTGACAGAGTAAGACCCTGTCTCTAGAAAAATAAAAAAGAAAAATAATGAAGATTTATTTTGTATTCATTCTACATGTCCTTCCTGGGGTGGCTGGGGACTGTCCCCGTGTCCTCACTCAGGGACCCAGGCAGATGAAATGGCTGCCATCTGCAATGGGGACAGCAATAGTGGCAGGAAGGAGGGAAGGGTGGCAAGTTGTGAATTGAGTGTAGAGACTGCCACCTGGAGGTGACCCTGTAACTTCCACTTTTCTTTGGCTTCCAGAACTCATTAGGAGGGTGGGAAGTGCAAGTCCAACACGTTTCCAGAGGGGGAGAACAAGACTACAGGTGGCCAGCCCTAATGAATACTATTAATGCAATAATTTTAACATTTTTGCCCTCTTTTCTTTAATTTTCACAAAACCTTTACATGGTAACTAATAGCTCCATTCTAGGGTTGAGGAAACAGCCTGGGTTCCTGAGGACAGGAAATGCACCCACCTGCCAAGCTGCTGGTGACATCTTGTGGCAGCCAAGGAGCACCAGCCTCCTGGAGGAGGGGCAGAGTCCCAGTCTCTCGGCTCTGGGTGAGCATTCCCAGCTCTGGCGGGGTCTGCTGGGCTGAGTAGCTTCTGGGGTGAGGCCTGAGGGTTAGAGAGGGCTAACCTGGGAGGGCAGAGAGGGCTTCTCGGGATGGCTTCTAGCAGTAAAAGGACCGTAACCTCAGTTTCTGCTCCCCACCAGAGAAGCAGAACATACTGTGGTGTGTGGCAACCTACATAAAATACTTTGTGGACATGGTTGGGAAGTATAGATAATGACATTTCATCACATCCATAACATGAGCTAAGTGAGAGAAGCTAGATGCAAAAATATGACTATGGATGACAGTTTAAAAACAATGTGTGTGTGCACGCATAGCAGGTATGAATCCATCCACAAACTATATAAGCAAGAAATATTTAATTTCTTTATTTCCTTTTCATCAACTTAATTCTGCCTCTAAGCCCTCACTCATTCTGGTGAGAATTTACCTTCGGTTATTTTTAGGGTTTCCCGTTGCCACAGTCCTGCTGGGGTCCTGGCCCACAGCAGCGAGACACTGGGGTGCTCCTGTGGCTTTGGCCCCACTGATACAGCCTTGTTCTAGCCCACAGCGTCTGGCTGGGGCGTGAGAGTCCCGGTGGGCCTGGAGACATGCTTCCTCAGAAGCACCCTCTGAAGTGTCGCCCTGAAGTCCTGCCACCCTCCCTTCCCCCACTCATCCCCAACTCTCTGCCACCTTGAGACCTCACTCCCACCTGCCACCTTCAGGACACACACTTCTTCAATGGGCTTAAGTTTTCAGCAGGAAGAAGTATATTAGCCTTGCTAAAATACTTGAATAAAGGAATACCAGCAATATGGAAACTAAATGACTTGAAAATTCTCCTACTACAACTCCTAGAAATGCTGAACTTTCAAGGAAAAAGGAAAATGCAACCACCAGGTACCAAGTCTAGAGCCAAGACTTCATGTCGCTTTGGGATGCAAAAAGCAATGATAAGTGAAGACACCACTGGCTAAGCCAGTGGGTAAACCTAAAAAATAATTATAAAGCTAATTTAGGGGATATAAAAATGCAATGGGACTAAAAACCTAGATAACAATAATATATAAGATAGGAAGGTGATGATCTGATTTAATATTTGAATGTCATTGAATTGTTTAGGAAGGGAATAAAGACAGTGATTCACTTTATATTTTATAATGCCATGTATACATGTTTGAAATTTAGGATACCATTAAAATAATAAAAACTGAGTGTACCTTTTCCACAGGGGAGAGGAGGTTATACAAGGCCTGGATCTGTATCTGAAAAGGAAGGTAGAGAAAAAAATACGGAGAATAACATACAGATGAAGAGGAAAAAAACCTGCTGCACATGCAGGTAAATATGTATAAGGAACCAACTGCCTCCCAATGTTACAGTGATTGCTTACGAAGAGTGAGGCTCCAGGTCAGTTTTATTTCCTTTTTCGTGCTTGTGACAGCAGCTTCTAAAACGGCCCACAACAAGCCCACCCCCCTGGGGTTCACATCCTTCGTGGGCCTCTCCCACACTGTGCCGGTGACAGGACCAGTCTGTGTGACCAGTGGAATCCAGCAGACGAGATGGCTCGTCACTTCCTATTGAGGCCACAGAAGGCTGTGGCTTCCATCTTGCATGCTTTCTCTCTTGCTGTCTCTCGCATCATTTGTTCTTGGGGGAAACTTTGTCCTGAGCAGCCCTTCGAAAGGCCCCACCTCCTGCCAACAGCCACACGAGTGAGCTTACAAGCAGATCCTGCAGCCTCAGGGGAGCCTTCAGATGACAGAGCCCTGGCCATGTCTGAGAGTCCCTGAGTCAGAAACACCCAGCCAAGCCACTTCTAGTAACTGTGAGATAACAAATGTTTGTTGTTTTAAGCTACTAGGTTTTGGAGATCATTTGTTCCACAGCAATAAATAACTAATCCAGTACTTTTTCTGCAACTTTCAAATTCTATACAATGTACATATATTGCTTTACAACCAGAAAAAATGTTTTAAGGAGAACCTGTTCGGTCATCTTGTTACCCTTAGTGCCTGGCGCACTTGTGTCAACTGAAGTCTGTGCAGTAAGAAGCCAGCCACACACCGGTGAGGCCTGAACACGGCCTGTTCTTAATTTTGGTTTTGCCAGACACACGGCCTTGCAAAACATCCCCAAAAAGGAGATGATTCTTTTCGTGTGATCCAGGTCTTGCAAATATTGTAAAAAGTCAGTTAATTTCCTCAGGAAATTGGATAACTTTTAAACTTGGTTAACTGCCTCAAATATTGTATAAACCAATAAATAGCATTTGATTCCAATAGACTAGCTACATTGTGTTCACAGAGGATTTTCAAAAGTTGGGAACATATTATACATTTTTCTTTTCAAGGCCAGTGGGCGCAGAACCAAGTGTGGAGTGTTGGGGGGAACGCTGCCCCCAGCCTGCAGCCCTCCCTCTGCCAGGAGCGGCTCTGTAGCTCTGGGACAAGTCACTTGGCCACCCTGGAACCCAGTTTCCTCATACATAAAACACCAATGCTGGAGTATTTTATCTCTAATGACTAAAAATCTGTTAACCTGCAGTCCCGCTTTAACCCGCCCTGGAATTCTGGCTCTTCTGAGACAAGCCACTTCAAAGCCAGCCTGAGCCCCTCCCAAGACAGACCTCACTGCTGTCCACTATGGAAGCCACTAGCTGTAGGCAGCTATTTAAATTCGAATTAATTTAAATGAGCTACAATTAAAATTGAGCTTCTCTGTTGCGGTGGCCAGTTTGAAGTGCTGCGTAACCACCTGTGCCCAGTGGCAGTGTGTGGCGCAGCACAGAGCTGGAGCACTTCTGCCATCTCAGGAAGTTCCGTTGGACGGCTGCTCTGGGCCCCTCGAAGCATCGTCCGTGCACCTGCTGCATCGGCCACACCTGGACCCCTTAGACATGCAGGGTCTCGGGCCCACCCCAGATCTGCCGAATCACAATCTGCACGTGTGAGTTTGAGAAGCCCCTTTGTAAGGTGCATTCTCCACCAAGGAGGTGACTGGAAGGACAGAGTGGTGGCTGATTGTGTGGCCACACTCCATGGACTCATAGCCTGGCTCTCTCTCTTATTAGCTGTGTGACCTTAGGCACATTCTTTAACAGTTCTGGGTCACAATTTCCTTATTGGTAAAATAGTATCTACCCCCATAGGAAAATCTGAGATTAAAAAGGTAAAACAATGATCATGGTGCCTACCTAACAGATGGTAAGTGCTCTTCAAATGGCGGTTTTGTTATAATATTTCTGGATTCCATGAGGTTTAAGGTCCCTGCCAGCTCCAAACCTTGAGACCCAACGCCGATAGCCTAGAACGGCTCTTCCCCTCTCCGCCACAGGGTGGCGCTGTGACCCTAACGTCCTTGGCGGCCCCGCTGGAAGCCAGACTGTGCCGGAGCCGTCCGGCGTCTGTTTCGGATTACCCAGCACGACCGAGCATCCCGGACGCTGTCCAAGCATTCATCTGGCAGATAATGGAAAAACAGGCCCCAGCTTTGTACCCAGTCGGAATGCAAAAGTAAGGGCTGCACAAAGACTTGAATAAGGGCTGTGTGAGTCGTCGCGGAAGCAGGAGGCTGCTGGTGGAGAGCTGGGGGGAGGGAAGTTTAGGATTTTCTAAGTCAGCTGCTCAATGACTTGTGTTCCTCTTCCCACACATTCAAGGGACCGCCGCCCCTTGCGACCAGTTGTGTGTGTGGGAGAGACAGAGACAGAGACAGAGACAGAGAGAATGGGGTTGGAGTGGGCATTTTTTTGAAGTCTATTTCTACAGTTTCTCAGACTTTAGCCTACTTTCACAGTCACCTGGGGGGCCTGATTGTTGGGCCCTGTTCCCAGAGTTTCAGTTGAGTGAGAGGTCTGGGGTGGCCTGGTAATTTACATTTCAACCAAGTTCCCGGGTGACACTGAGGCTGCTGGGCCAGGGACTGCCCTTTGGCCTTCCCACAGCCCTAAACTCCCAAGAAGCTTCTGGAACAAATTATATACTCTTGGTTCAAGAGAAGGCCACCACTCCAAAGGGAGATACTCCAGCCGCCCACCCATGGTGACACCTTCGGCACTCTCAGGAACCCCCTAAGGCTCCCCTAGGCCACGTCTGGGTCCTCCACAGTCTAGAGTCCAGTGTGGACAGGAAAGATGGCTGCAAGGCTGGGAGCCAGGGTCATTCCCAGGTGAAGGCCCCCCCTTCCCTCGATGCTGTTTAATTCATAATTCTTGCTCTGTCCCTAGAAAGGTGATCAAGACTCTCGAAGCTCTGCTGAGCTCCACTTTGGGCACCAAACCTGCAGAGACCGCTCTCGTGGCTTGACGTCACCAGTCCAAAGCAGGGTCACTTCCCCCCAGAAATAGGTGGAAACAGCAGGGGTCTGTATGAGTTTGAGGGGGCTGTTGGACATTTCAGAGGGAGTGCAGAGGACTCAGATGGGACCCCTGGTGGTTGATATGGACCGACTGGAACTAGAGGGGAAGAGAACTAGAGGGGAAGAGCCTGGGTCCCTCCTCTGAGCTCCTTGGGCACCGGGGCCCTGCACACGTGGCACTGATCCCATTCTGCCTGGTCAGGACTGGTGAGCTTGGCCGTTCTCTCAAGAAGGCTGTGTGCACCGCTCGTGAAGTGCCAGGCTCAACACCAAGCTTTTGTGAGCTGGAAAATCCACAGCTTCGCCTGATGGGCCCCCAGGAGCCCACGTCCTCCTACCGGAGAAAGCACACGGCCGCGGAAGCACACGTGTGTAGCCCGCCTCCCGTGCCGCCCCCAGGCTCTGGGCCTTCTCTGAGTTGCCCTAAAACAGAGTTTCCCAGAGAGTGCAGTGAGTCCACTGGCGGCCTCCAAGGTGAGTGTGGGGATCCAGAAGCTAATGTTTGAAATTCACGTGTTTTTTTTTTTTTTAAAAATAGTTATCTTTTATAGGTTGAGATGAAAAATGAAGTGAATTTGATAAAAGTGCGGTGAGTGGATTTAGAGAAAAATAATAGGTTATAGAATAAGTGCTTATCTGAAGTTCAGGAAACACTGTCCACAGAATTCGCTCTTGCAAAAGCAGGAAAGACTTCACTGGAGAGTTCACAGTGGAGATTGAGGAGGAGTCTTTCTATATCGCAGCCATGCCCACGCGGCCATGAAATCTCACAGGAGCCGTTGCTGTTCTTCCCAAGCACATCGGTGCCACACGGTCACTGGATTTTTTTACTGTCTGTGTTTCTGCCACGAGTGTCCAGAGTCCTGGCCCCCTCCAGGGACCCTGCCCAATGCCACCATCTCCAACTCTTTCCCTTCATTGTGGAGAAGATTCAGCCTTCCCCACTTCTGCCGCAAGCTCTGGAGCTGAGGAAAGCTTGTCTAGTTTATATGCAGAGATCAACAAATACCAGTAAGACCATTAAAAAAAATCACTTTATTAGTGAAGATAGTAATGTGAAATGGCACAACTACTTTGAAAACTGTTTCTTAAAATGACAAACATGTGCATACTATAAAACCCAAACATTCCACTCCTAGGTAGTTACTGTACTTACCCAAGACAAGTGAAAATATATGCCCAAGCAAAGACTTGTGTGTGAATGTTCATAGCAGCTTTATTCATAATGGTTAAAAACTGAAAACAACCCAAATGTCTACCAACAAGTGAATGGGTGAATAAATTGAGGAGCAGCCATTCAACAAAATAGTCTCAGCAATAAAAAAGGAATGAATTGTGGATATACTCAATGGTGTGAATGAATTGTGAAACAACAAGCTCCAGGGGAATAACAATTGTGTGAAAGAAGCCAGGCAAAAGGAATACATACTGTATGATTTCATTCATATAAAAGTCTAGAAAATGTAATGCACAGTGACAGAAAGCAGATCACTGGTTGCCTGGGGATAGAGTGATGGGGGAAGGGTGATGAAGGAAGGATTGATTGCAAAGGGGCATGAGGAAGCTTTTGGGGGAGCAGTGGGTGTGTTCATTATCTGACTGTGACAATGGTTTCATAAGTGTATGCTTATGTCAAGCTTTTCAATTGTTCATTTTATTTTATTTTTTTTTTGTCTTTGTTTTTTTTTTTTGAGACCAGAGTCTCGCTTTCTTGCCTAGGCTAGAGTGAGTGCCGTGGCGTCAGCCTAGCTCACAGCAAACCTCAATCTCCTGGGCTCAAGCAATCCTGCTGTCTCAGCCTCCCGAGTTGCTGGACTACAGGCACGAGCCACCATGCCCGGCTAATTTTATATATTATATATTAGTTGGCCAATTAATTTCTTTCTATTTTTATAGTAGAGACGGGGTCTCGCTCAGGCTGGTTTTGAACTCCTGACCTTGAGCAATCCGCCCGCCTCGGCCTCCAGAGTGCTAGGATTACAAGCGTGAGCCACCCGCGCCGGCCCAATTGTTCATTTTAAATGTGTGCAGTTTATTGTATATCATAAAGTTTTTTTGTTTTGAGACCGGAGTCTCGCTTTGTTGCCCAGGCTATGAGTGAGTGCCATGGCGTCAGCCTAGCTCACAGCAACCTCAATCTCTGGGCTCAAGCAATCCTGTGCTGCCTCAGCCTCCCGAGTAGCTGGACTACAGGCATGCGCCACCATGCCTGGCAATTTTTTCATTATATGATAGTTGGCCAGATGTAATTTTCTTTCTTTATAGGTAGAGACTGGGGTGTCTTGCTCAGGCTAGCGTTCGAACTCCTGACCTCGATGAAGTCCACCCGCGTCGGCCACCAGAGTGCTAGGATTACAGGCGTGAGCCACCGAGCCCGGCCAATAAAGTTCTTGAAAATAGCAATATAACTCAATAATAACAAAACAAACAACGAAGTAAAAAATGTTCCGAAGACACTTTATCAAAAAAAGATAGGAAATAAGCACCTGAAATGATGTTCAACACCATTAGTTTTTAGGGAAATGCAAATTAAAATCACAATGAGATATGCACACCTGTCCACATGGCTACAATCAAAAAAACTTACCATACCAAGCTCAAGTTTGAAGAGAATGTGGAACCACTGGCACTCTCTTGTACTTTCTATAGAATGCAAAATTGCACAGACACTTTGGAAAACAGTTTAACAATGCCTTATAAAGTTAAAGATGCACTTAGTATGTAACCCAGCAATCTTACACCTAGGTATTTACCCAAAATAGTGTTCATATAAAAACCTGTGCATGAATGTTGGTAGTTGCTTTATTCATATTTGTCAAAAATTGTGAACAAACTAAATGTCCTTCAAGTTGTGAATGGGTAAACAAGCGGTGACATATTTATACAATAGACTACTACTCAGCAATGACAAAGGAATGAATTACTGATACATGCAGCAACATAGATGAGCTTCACAATAATCAGAAGGCTACGTGCTGTAAGATCCCATTTATGTGACATTCTGCAAAAGGCATATCAGTGGTTGCTGGGGTTGGGTGGAGAAGGGTGGACTATAAAGAATTTTTTTTCAGGTGATGGAACTTTTGTGAATCCCAGTAGTGGTGGTGCTTAAACAATTCTCTGCATTTGTCAAAACTTATAGAGCTGTACACTACCAGAGAGAGTGAATTTTACTCTGTGTAAATAAAAAATAAATTTAAAAATGATAATTTATGTTGTTCTAGAAATGTCAAATAATATAGAAGAATAGAAAGAAAAAGCATAAGGGCCCTTTCCACAGACAAAACACAGCACTTTAGGGCTTCTCCGCAGAGCTAACCACGGCTAGCAGTTTGCCAAACATGCTCTTACTATTTCCTATGAATACATGTGAATTTATGTAGAGGTTGTATTTTTACAGAAATGGGGTTCTACCCTACCTATGGTTCTGGTACTGCTTTGTCCTGCGGTATTTTGAAGGCCTTGGAGAAATAACGTTTAACTCCAATGGACAATCTGACATAATTCAAAACCGTCGCACCCTTGTCAAGGTAGTGTAAATGAATATGCCATCCCTGTGCCACAGGTCCTGGGAGAAATTAGGCTGGGTCTAAGCCAAATCTGGCAGTGACTCTTAAAGAAAACATACAGCTAAATACTCCTCTCCCCATTTTATTCAATTCTGTGTAGGGGTGATAGTCGGTCTGCTGCAGGGAGGGAAGCACAGACCTCCTCCAGACTTGGGGTGTGGGAACATCTTTGGGAGCACCTGCTTAGCCATCGGCAGGGCTGGCTGTGTCTGGCGTGAACAGCACGGATGCCAGTTTTCTAAGGTGAGAAAGAAAGTTTTTATGAACACAGCAGAATGTTTTAAATGTGTTCTTGGGAGCCTAAGATGCACTTCCTTTGCCTTCATAGAGTCACGTTCTGTCCTCGTCGGAGCGTGTGGGTGGGAAGAGACGGGCCCTGCAGCGCAGCACACTGGGCTGGCGTCCGGCTCCTGGCTCCACCAGCTGGGTGACCTTGGCAAGCCGCACGACCTTCCCCTTGGCTTCCACGGGGCTGTTGTGGAAGTTCATCCTGTGACCGTGTGTGACGCCTGGTGATTGGTAGCCACGAGGAAGCTAATTTTACTGTTCGGCTGCTAGTGTTACTTGGTGTGGAGGCCATTAACCTTGGGTCTGAGAGAGATTAGACCCCTCTCTTGGGGGCTTTCTTGAGTGGCTGCTACGTGGGCTTTGCCGACAGCCTCCCCCTCTCCCAAGGGCAGCCGGCCCCTCTCGGCTCTCCAGGTCGGCACCAACAAACAGCCAAAGCTTGCTGGGCAGCTGGCTAGCAGGGCCTGTATTGATTCTGTTCCTGAAGCCTTTCAGGTCGCCGCTGCCCCTGTGATCTCTCAGTCACAAAACCCAGCGGCTTCCCTGAAAGGCTGCTGGAGACTCCTGTGCTTCTAGAAAGAAACCTAGACCCACTAGAGTCAGCCTTGTGTTTACCTCAAAACTCCAAGGTCTCAGAGCCCAGCATTTGGGCCAGGTCATTCAGTGCCTGCACGGACAGTGGCTGAGGAGCGAGGTCTAGGGAATCGTGTCGCCTCCCCAGTGACAAATACTGCTCCCGCCCTGCTGTGTGCAACAGAACCTCGCTCAGTGCTGCCCGAGACCTTTTACGGTCCAGCGCTGCCTGTTGCCCAGGTCAACTGTAAACAAAGGGAGGCCTTAGCCGAGTCCCTGTAACCATTCTTGCCAAGATTTCAACACGGTCAGTTTTTCTGGCCAGGCTCACCCTTTAACTCTCATTGTAGCTGAACTGTTTGCTGGTCTCGGTGGCTGCAGGAGGGCTCGGGGAGGCCGGTGGCCCGGCTGGGAGCCTGCGGTGGGTTCCTGCTCCGGACTCACCGCTAAGCAGGCGTGTGGCCTTCACAATAAGCCGGTTACCTCTGGTCGCCGTTTTCATTTTCATCACATATCATTTTCTAATTTTTGTGGAAATAAGACCACAGTCTAAATTCCACACTAATTGAATAAACAAAGCTCTTCCAGAAGTTTCTGCCACAGCCCACACTCTGGTGTTGACCCTGAGTGGATGCTCCCTGGGAAACCAGTAGCTGCCCATGTCTAGAGAGCAGATGGATGTGGATAGTTGGAAAAAAAACAGATACCGTGTTTCCCTGAAAATAAGACCTATCCATAAAATAAGCCCTAGCAGGAATTCTAAGCATTTGTGCAATAGAAGCCCTACTCAGAAAATAAGACCTAGTGATGGGCGTGGCTACGCAGCGTATCTGCACAACCCATGCATTTCGTCATGGAGCGGTAAAGAAGACGAGCAGCCCTTCTCATCTGCCCCATGAGAGAGCTCTATTGCTTGACATGAGAGATGGGGCCAATGGTTCTAAAGGAAATAGAGTCGCAAGAAATTCAGGATGGAATTCAGGGTTTGGAGAGTTATGATGATGTTCCAGAAGAAGACGACTTAACTATATTTGAATAAATGTAGATTGTTGCACTATACTTACAGAAAATAACACATCCCCCAAAAATAAGCCCTAGGGTGTCTTCTTGAGGAAAAATAAATATAAGACCCTGTCTTATTTTCAGGGAAACACGGTAGTTCACACAGAGAGTTGGAACAGAGAGGCATTTCCATCCTCTGGGGCCCTGGCTAGGCAGGAAGGTTGACTGAGAGAAGAGAGGAGACGTGCAGAGGGCTGGGACCTGGGGCTGGTGGGCTCGTCCTGGGACCAGACCCACCGGCGGGGGAGGGTGAAGCAGAGCTGAGAACTCTTAACCACCTACAGCCACAGACACCGGCACTGGCTGGGTTAGGCAGAAAGGAACTTATGGCGAGGATATCGGGTAGCCACAGGATGACAGGAAGACAGAACTGGGTCTGCAAAATGGGGAAGAAGAAGGGAGGTCACAGAACCAGAGCCCACGTCACAACTCTGGAGGCAGCTGGCTCTGGCATCACTCCCCACCGGGCCTGGATGTGGTGGCCACCCCGTGGCCACAGCCAAACTAGACTTCTCACCCACTTGAAGTCCGAGGCAGGTGCATTTAGTTAGCTAAGAGTAACTACAAGGGAAGCTGCAAGAGAGAGTGCCTGACCTCAGCAGTGATCTTTGACTGTCACCCATGTTGAGTAGAATTGTCCCAAACCCAGGAAGGGGGTTCAAAGGCTGGGAGGCCAAAAATTCAACAAATGTCCCTTGGAGTGTAAGGCCAGCCAATCAGTCTCCAAGGCTGTGCTGACCGATCAGAGGTGGAGGTATGCGGGGTGACAGGGGACTCCCACCCAGAGTTATAGGGTCTGCAGGAGGCAGCAATGGGGGCTCTCAGAGGAAATTTCACACCAGTGACTCTCAGTCAGGGGAAACGCTGGCAATGTCTGAAGACATTTGGGGTTGTCACCACTGGGGGGAGGGGTGCTACTGGCATCTAGTGGGTAGAGGCCAGGGATGCTGCAATGCCCCACAGCCCCACACCCCCAGCAAAGAACCATCCCAACTAAAAGGTCAACAGTGCTGAGGTTGGGAAACTCTGCTTTAGCAGAGGTCATCACAGGTCAGCTCACCAAACACATCTGTGCACAAGGGACAACAGCCTGGACACTCGGCCGGATTTCGGGGGGGGGGGGAGACTCCCGGAGCAGGGACAGGGGACGTGAACGTGTTTGGAAAGGGCAAGGTAGGAGCCGCATTCTGAGCAGCTGGAGCTTCTGGGCAGGTTATAATGACCGAGACTGGGGGCAAGGAGCACACAGGGATTCGCTGCACCTGCACTAGCATTCGGGATGCTGGGACGGGCAGACACTAGAGACGCAGCGGGCCTCTAGGAAGGCCCGAGAGTCCGGGGTTGGCTGGGCCCAGGGGTGGGACGCTGGGATTTCAGCACTGGGAAGCAGGGGGACAAAGAAGGGTAAGGCCCCAGGTGGGACTGAGAGTTTCCAGTCAGATCTCAAAAGCAGCCACAATCCAGTTAGATTGTCATCTCCTTAAACACGAAGTGAGCATGAGGCAAGGGGAACAAATTGAGATCTCAGGGGAGGCAGGAGTTTGTACAATTGGGAAATAAGACAAATAGCTATTTGTTTTCATAACACCACAGGCAGAAACGAAAGCTTAGCATAATCTTCTTGGTTGGAGTGGTATTGTTTAATAAAGTTTTCTTTTTCTTTATAGAGACGGGGTCTCCATCTTGCTGAGGCTGATCTGAAATTCCTGAGCTCAAGCGATCCTCCCGCCTCAGCCTCCCAGAGTGCTAGGTTTACAGGTGTGAGCCACCGCGCCCGGTCTGTTTAAAAAGAAACCTGATAGAGACTTAATTTCTCCAAGTTCTGTCTGATTTCTGATAGACGCCCAGGTGGTGCTAATTTTCATGGCATATCTTATGTTGGTAACATGTTTTTGCTTTGTCAAAGCACTTTCAGGGCTCCTGGCAATATTTAGCATCTCTGCAACCCCATGAGGTGGACATTACAGTTCCATTTGACAGGCAAGGAAACCGAGGCATGGGCAGGCCAGGCAGACCACCCTTGACCACAGGGCTAGCGACTTGGCTCGACTGTCCCGCTGCCTTTCTTCTTCTGTGAGAAACATTTATGGCAGTTCCGGGTGGTGTTCGGAAAGCCCTCAGGCACTGGGACCTGGGTACGTTTCCCGTTTTGCTGCTCTCCTTCATGGTGGGCATGCTCTCTGCCTCCTGGCTGGCTGCTGTCTTCTCCCACTGCCGTTTGGCACAATTTCTGCTTTGGAGAAAACTAACCCCTTAGTAGCCACCTACTTACCATTTCTCTCACGTGGCCGGAGCCTGTCAGAGGCTGCCGCGCTGTGAAACGGGGGACTGGACCAGGGGGGGAGTCTGCCTTTGACGCGAAGCCCCTTCAGCAGCCCCGGCCAGAATGTGGGGAGACAGCCCCGGGAGCCGGCTTCCTTCTAAGGAGTCCTAGATTGTCCTCAACTTCCTTTCCCTAAACTGGTGCTAATTGCTATTGTGGACATTTGCTTGTTTCATTTTTTCCTTTTTGAGATACATTTCTTTCAGTCCGAGGCTTGTAGTTAAACTAATGGATCATTATTGTTTGGAATTGTTAATAATCCACTCAAGACCACTCAAGGGGCAAATATTTAGCACTGGAAAATATTAAAATGTGCCTTAATTGTTTACTATTCTGGATGCAGCTATAAAATAAGAAGCTCCAACATATATCTTCCAACTAGTATTTATACATTTATTCATACTGTTACTGATTTTTGAGTCAGATCCTTTTAGGTTATTTCACTAGTTTGGGATGTTTATAAAATATGGTAACATGCATTTCACATCCAAGCAGCTGGATTCCTGTATTTGTCACTGATGTTTCTAAGAGCTGAGACTTTTAATATACAAAAGTAATTTTTTAATAGCTTTGTTGAGGTATAATCATAATTAACATACACTGCATATATTTGAAGTGTGCCATTCGGCAAGTTTCAACATATGTAGGCACCTGTGAAAACATCACCACAATCAAGATAGATGATGTATCCATCCCCCCCAGAAGTTTTCTCAAGCCCATTTGTAATTTCTCACTCCTGCCCTTCTCCCCTCTCCTGCCCACATCCCAGGCAATAACTGGTCTGCCTACTGTCATCATAAATTGGTTTGCATTTTCTAGGATTTTAAATAAATAGGGTTATACAACATGTCCTCTTCTTGCCTGGCTTCATTCACTCCGCGTAATTTTGTGATTCATCTATTTTGCTGTGTTGTATCAATAGTTCCTTCCCTTCTGTTACTGAGGACTATGTCATTTGTATGAATACACCGCAATTTGTTT